CGGGGCTGTGGGGAAAGGTTTCCTCCCTGGGGCTGAGCTGGCCCTGAAGTTCTGGGCTGTCCTACTGAGACTCTATGGATGTCACACAATCTTTGTTCCCGTCGGCATCTGTAGGCAGTGAGGTGGCAGAGGATGCCGGAAGTTACCTAGTCCAAGGGGAGCCCGGGCCGGATTTACATGCCTCTGGTGACGGGGAGTTCGCTGCCTCCCAAAGAGGCCCCTTCCATGCCGGGCTGTGCCAGCCTCTTGCCCGCTCCCAGCCTCTCTGCGCTGCTTCTTCCTGTCCTGGCCCTGCCCGCGTGCCCAGCGCACAGCCAGGCCTGGGTCTTTCTGACAGCCTCCCATCTGTCCTGCTCCAGGCCGGTCCCCTCCTGGCTGCCCTCCCGTCTGAACCTGAGTGGATGTTGGGGACCGAATATCTGACTATGTCATTCTTCTGTCTCCAGGAACTGTCCGCTCCTCACAGGACACCCAGCGCGCGTGCTCGCCTGGCCTGGCCCTCTGGGCCGTCTTCCGGCCCCGCCCCGGGCACACCCAGCGTGGCCCTTCAGAGTGGGCCGTGGACTTCCTGGGCCCCCGGGCTGTGACCTTCCTGTCGGGAGCGGCCAACACCCCTTCTGCGCAGAAAGGCTTCCTCAGCCTTGGAGACCCAACTCGGATGTCCCCTCCTCTGGGAAGCCTTCCTGCCCCTTTCCCTCTGGCTGGGCAAGTCCCTTCTTGTTCCTCCCTAGTGCCCACTGCCCCTCACCTCCACTCCCTGTTGCCATGTCTATCTCCTGTCCACCTGGGAACTCCCTGTTTACCACCGGATCTCAGTGCCCAACCCTGCTCGGTGAGTACCGGGACCTCGGAAACACGGGTTGAGGGTAGACATGGTGCGTTGTGTGTGTGGGGTTGTCCCTGGAGGAAAAAGTACTCTCTGCTACTCAAACCCACCGCAGTGCGTCACCCCATCCCTGCTCCTTCCGTCAGCCCCTGAGGTCCACCTCTGTTGTCCTCCCAAGGGGCAATGGATTGGGAGTAAGAAAGCCACCTCGTCAGTGGATTTGGGCAAGTTGCTTCCTGTCCTTGGGCTCAGGCTCCCCAGTTATGAAACCGGGTGGGGGTAGGGGTGGGGAGGCCGGAGTCCATCATCTGCAACATCCCCTCTCCCCTCAGAGTCTTTCTCTGGCTGTGACTAGCATCTACCGTGTGTCAGGAACTGTGCCGGGCACCTTACGTGCGTGATTTCTAATGTTCACGACACCAGATGTCTTATAGAAAGCACTCGGCGTGATAGAAAGCATTCAGCGTGCCGTCTGGCAGATCGTAAGCTTCAAGTAGACAGAGAGGGCTAGCATTAACAGTTATTACCCCAACCAGCACCCGGTACAGAACCATTTTATAGATGGGAAAACCAAGGCAACGAGAAGGGGGGACCTGCTCAGATTCACACAGCTGGAGCCAGGCAGCTGGAACCAGTTCCTCTCCCTCCTGCTACCCTCCGTCCTAACTGGTGGGCAAGCCCATTCAGCGGCTCAGTCACTACGTATTTATGCACATCTAGGCGCCTGGCCGCTGTGGATGCTGCAGACGCAGACGAGACCCTGCCCTCCCGGAAGGTACTGTTTCCGGGGGAAGAGAGATTAAATGCTCCCACGAATACATGTAGAAGTCATGAAACATGCTCTGTGGTCTGAAGGAAAATCAGGGTGCTGTAAGGTGTGCCTTGGCCTGGGGGGTGACTTGGATGGGGAGGCTTCTGGCTAAGCTGGTGAAGGCTTGGCTCTCCTGGGCATGGATGCCAACCCCTCCAGACCAGCTTAGGGCCTGCTGAGCCTGGAGGAGAGAGCTGGAAGCAGCCCCTCGTACCCCCAACCCCAGCGCTGTCCCCACCCCAGTCTCTTTGAAGTCTGTCCCTTTACAACTGCCCTTTCCACCGAAGGATCCAGACACAAATTGTACTTTAAATTCAATATCGGTCATTAATATTTCATGATTACAAAACGTTAAAGATAATGTCAGGGAAGGAGCGTCGGCATGGGCAGAATGGAGAGGGGAGACAGCATACTAAGTGGTTTGGGAGTCTAGAGGTAATCCGGTATGACAGGCGGCGGCTCCCGCCCGAGCGCCGCTCTCTCCGAGGGGCCAGCAAAGCTCCGCCGCTGTGTATAAATATTTCCCCTCTGATTCTTGTCACCTTATGTTGTTACACCCGGAGCAGGCAGGGCCGTGGTTACCCCTTGAGCATCCCTTGCTTCTGTGGAAGTCAAATGGATACTTCTGCAGAGGGTGCAGGAGGGTCGGCCCACTGGCATTGCCCTTGGGGCCCCAGCAGGCTGCAGGAGGCAGGGGTGGAGCCCTGGGCCCGGGGACTTGCCCTGTGACCTTGCTCAGGGGGCCTTCGCTGTTCCCCCCGAACCTGTTTCCTCATCTGCAACGTGGGGATAATTTTGTTCTTGTCTCCGAGATGGCAGGAAGCTGGAGTGGGTGAATTTTTTTGCGACACACCTGGCTTCATGCCCAGTACTGAGGACTTAGACTTGAGGGGCATCTGGGTGGGAGCTGGGCTCTGGAGTCAGACAGGCTGGGGCTGGAAATTTGGACAGATGCCTTCACCTCTGTGAGCCTCCGTTTCCTCCTCCACACACTGGGGGTAACAGCAGAACGGACCCCTCTTAGGTGGGAGGATTCAACGCCCACTCACTGTGCAGGGCCTGGCTCGGAGTTGGTGCTGGGGTCACGTGCAGTCAGGATCCACAGGTGCCACTAACCGAGCGCTTGTTAAGTACTGGGCTGTTCTTTCCATGCATTTTCCGATTTAATCCTCCCCCCAGCACTGCGAAGTGGAAACCATTCCTCTCCCCATTGATTCATATCCTGGTGAGGGTCAGCAGGGTGTGGAATGCAGCTCAGAGGTGGGGGGGGTATCCCTAGCCCAGTGGCCAGTCTTCCTCTTCCCCATGGTCATTTTTTGGGGACTGGTGGGTAAGACAGGGGTGGGGTTCAGAGAGCAGCGAGTACCAGGAAAGGGGTGTCCACACAGCAATGCTATGGTAGAAACTGGGAAGCAAACTTGGTCCAAATTCCAGCTCTGCCCTGCACATACTTGGGCAAGTCTCCTAACTCTCTGAGCCTCGATTTCCCTAATAGTAAAATGGGGACTGATCTGTTAGAGATTATGATTCAATAAAAGTACACCCTAGAAAGCAACTAGCCCCGAACATATATTCGGTAAACATTGTAAACTGTCCCGGGGGAGAGTCCCCCGCATTCTTGCAGACTTTGTATGTTACTCTATCTGCTTTCTGCAAGGGACCCCCTGGGCAGAAGCACAGTGCTTAGCCCCGGAGGGGATGTGCTTGTGGGGAGACATCAAGCAGTGCGACAGGCGGCTGGAGGAGATGTAACTGTGGGAAGGGACAGGAGGCATGTCTGCAGCAGCCAGGCCAGTGCCCCTGGCTGCCCAGGGAGCAAGGTCAGGGAGGCAAGGAGGGGGAGCTGTCTCCCCCCAGTCCAGCGGCCACTTCCTCTCCAGCCACCTTTGTTCTCTCCCTTTCATGCGGTGGCGGCGAAGTGGATTCAAAGGCTTGGGAGCAGCAGGCACTGAGGTTTGAGCCAGCTTTGTATTTTCTTTTAAACTGAAGTTGAAAGAGACGAAGGGAACTTCAGCCTGGGGACTTCCTGGGCCCCAGCCCTGAGAGGGGCTGGTGGGCCTGCACAGCGGGAGAGCGCCGCAGGAAGGGAAGGCGGCAGAGGCTGGGGATCTAGGAGGTGCAGCGGGGACCTGGAACTTCGCCCGCCTGAGGCTCGGACACCAGGTATCCCTGTTGTCATGATGCTGACTGGCGGCTGTGCTGGTTTCGGAGGCTTGAGGGCTGCCGGGGTGTGGGAGTCGGGGGAGCAGGTCCAGGTAGCCTGGCTGTGGCTGCCCAGGAGGCCGGAGCTGCCCCTTCTCCTGGGGCTCGGGGAATCCCAGTGCTCTGAGCTCATCTCTGTGGCCTTCCTTATCTGGACCCCATGTCTCAGGCCACCCCCTTCTCTCCCAGTTCATACTCCTTCCCAGCTGCATCAAAGTGTGCATGTGACACACACACACACACACACACACACACACACACTTCACTCTTCCAGAAACTCGAGCCGAGCACCTTGGAGTCCTCCGTGACCTCTCCCCATCTCTTCGTTCCCCATCATCCCATCCGCACGTCCTGTTGGCTCTCTCTTCACCCGTCTCTCAAAACTGATCACTTATCGCCTCCTCCATAGCTATTGCCCTGGGCCAGGCCACCAGCTCATCCCCTGGCACCATCCCGCTGGCTCTGGCCGAGCCCCTGCTGTCCAGCCTCAACGCAGCGGTCAGAGATACCTGTCAGGCATCAGCCCTGCCCTGCTCAACCTCCACCACTCCCACCTCCTCTGGAGTAAAGGCCAAAGACCCTACAAAGGCTGGCCACTCTGTCCCTCACTACACACCGGCCTCCCTGCTGCTCCTCCAACAGACTGGGAAAACCGCTGCCTCAGGGCCTTTGCACTGGCTGTTCCCTCTGCCTGGGACACTCTTCCCTCCGACGTGGGCACGCCTCCCTATTTACTGAGGTCTCTGCTGAAATGTCTCCTTCTCAGAGAGGCCTTCTCCTAAGAGAAACAATGCTCCCTTCCTCCCACCCCTGTCCCCTGCTTTCTCCGTTCCCTGGACAAGATGTATGCCCTTTCTGTTTGTTGATGGGCTAGCTTTTGCCAATGCACACAGAAGCTTGTCTGTCTTGCTCAGGCTGTGTCCCAGCCTCTCAAACGGCTTGGTATGCACTGGGTGCTCAGTAAATGCCGAGGGAGAACAGCAACTTCCAAACTGGCCCTGCTCTTTAGGCCTGGGGTCCTTCCCACGTCTCTCTGCTCCTGCCCGTTGGCATCTGCATCCCTCCCACCCTCCATCTTTGCCCCGTTCCTTCCTCTTTGCCTGCCTCCGCCCTGCTCCTCAGTCTCCACCCCCTCCACAGCTGCCCCGTCCCCCAGCTCACCTGCCTCCATGGCCAGCACCGTGATGTTATGCCAGCCGGCGGTCTCACGGTCCAGTCCCTTGCCCGTCACGATGGCACCCGTGTCCGCATCGATATCAAAGATCTGGTCCAGATCTGAGTCTCGGTCAATGGCGTACCTGATGGAGGTAGGGCAGGGCTGATTGAAGGTGCCCAAGCACCAGCTGGAACCTGTGCCCATGACCCCCCAACTCCACCCCACCCTACCCCCCCAAAGGGACCAGCTGCCTGGGAGACACAAGGAGCAGAGAAACTCTTTCCCACAGAGGAAGAGTGGAAAGGGATCTGGGTTTGCGTCTCAGCCTCACTGGGTACGTGCTGTGTGGCCACTGGCAGCCCTCAGTCTTTCTGGGCCTCAGTTTCCCCAGCTGGGTAATTGGGCAAACAGGTGTCGCGAGCGCTGGAAGTGGGCAAGTCACTGTGCTGACAGAGAGTTAGCACTTGCTGGATATTCACTTCTTAGCTTTCCGCCAGCAGTGACCCTGGAATTGGGCTTGAGGGGGACTGTATCGGGCAGGGACAGGAAACAGCCCGCGGGGAGAGCTATTCAGGACCCGGAAAATGGCGCAACATGGCTAGGACTGGGGAGTGGGCGAGAGCCGGGCGGAACACACAGGGCACGGGATTCAGGGATTTGGTGTGTTCTGGGGGCCAAGAGGAATTTTGAGCAGGGCCAAAGGGGTGGGCTCTCTGGCTGCCTGGGAGCAGAGACTTGGGCTGTGCTGCTGTATCTTGGGGTTCGGGGAACAGCCGGCTCCCCCCGCTCCTGCCCTGCCTGCACAGCACGCAGGAACTAATCTGCGGCTTTTCAGCTGCCCAGTGAAAAAGCCCTTTGTTCCGCCTTCTTCCCCAGCCTTTGTGTGGCAGCTCCAGGCCTGAAAGGCCCGTGTCCAACACATGTCTCGGGCGGCAGCCCAGAGAGGCCCCGCCAGCGCTGGCCGCCGCTTCCTGCGCTGATAACGCAGGCGGGGGTGCCGCCGGGCTGCGCGGCGCACAAAGGCCTCGAATGCCAAGCAAGGGCTCTTTGTGCTGCAGGACAAAGCCGCTTGGTGGGCGGGGCTCAGCCCCAGGCCCTGGCCCCTCCCCCAGGCTGGAGAAACGGGCGCTCACCCCACCACCCAGAGTGGGCAACTGAGGCCCAGGGAGGTGAGGACACCAGAAACACCCCTGCTGGGGGCCCCAAACCCTGACATGACCCCTGAGTGGGGCCTTGGCTGCATCACCAAACTTCTATGCACCTCAGTTTCCTCATCTGTGGAATGGGGATAATGATACCCAGTGGGACTACACAGGTCTGAAAGTAGTCCACTGCTACTTATTCCACCTGTGTGACCTTGGATAAGTCACTGGACCTCTTTGGCCTCTGTGTGCTTGTCTGGAAAAGGGAGTTATTCATACTCGCCTCCCACTGGTGTGGGTTGGAGGAGGTGACGCACAGATCTGGGCAAAGGTGACAGCCCTTATTCTTTTTTTAAAAATTAATTTTAATCCTCACCGGAGGATATGCTTATTAATTTTTAGAGAGGGGAGGAGAGAGAGAGAGAGAGAGAGAGAGGGAGATAGACATTGATGTGAGAGAGAAACATTGATTGGTTGTCTTATGTACATGCCCTGACCGGGGATCGAACCCACAACCTTTCAGTATATGGGACGACGCTCCAACCAACAGAGCCACAAGTGGTAGAGGAAGTGCAGGCTCGTGGCTCACTGCAAAGGGCTGTGTATCTGGCTGTAGTGGGCACTACAGCCAGTCTCCCGAGTCCCCACTTCATGCTTTTTCCTGTCCCTAAAGTGCTAAGCCGACAACCTCCTCGCCCCTGACCGGCCCAGGTCCTCCTGGTCCTCCTACAGTGCGCGGGAAGGTTCAGACCAAGGTGATCCTTCCTGTCACAGGTACAGCACTTAACAGTTTGCAGCTTGCTTTTCCCAAGACATCTCTCCACTCCTTTCTTTATGCCTAACAACTGAGTGCCTTCTCTGTGCTGCTTTGCACTGGGCCCCGGGGACAAAGGGGCAAACGCGAGGAATGAGGTCCCTGCCTGGCATCCCGTGGGCTGATAGGATCTCCTCGTTTTGCAGATGAAGACACTGAGGCCCAGAGAGGAAACCTGCCGAGCTTAAGGCTGCCAAGAATGGATCTGAAGGTTGTGTCCTGCACAAAGGTAGGAGGCTGAAGGGGGAAAAGGGGGGGTGCAGTCCAGCTAGTGTCCTGCTTGCCAAGTCATGTCCTCACCCAGAGTGTCTTCTCAAAAGTGCCATATGGGCTTACAATGACCCTGTCCAAGGTTGCACAGGGACTGTCACAGAATTGGAATTTGTACCCAAGTCTGGGACTCTATACCCAGAGTTCTTTCTGGCTTGTTGACCCATCCAAAGCTGCAGAGCGTGGAGGTCCCTTGGCCCCCAGCCTGGCCCTGTCAGATGTCTGCGTCCCAAGAAGGTAGAACCAGACTCTGGGTGCTGGCTCAGCTGGAAGGATGGATGGAGACCTCCTCCTGCATTTTCAGGAGAGGGCCAGGGGATGACAGCCTGGGGCTCCCGAGGGCGGGGCAGGGCTCGTGGGAGGATGCCCACGCCTCATGGCTTCTCCTCGCCTCTCTGCTCACTCTCCTCTCTTCTCCCTCCTCCTCTCCCTCCTCCCCCACCCAGCTTTTCTCTTTTGTTCCCTCCCAGAGGGAAAGGGGGAGCTGGAATCTAAGTGGAGGCAGCTGTTCCCAAGGCCAGGGAGAAGGGCTGCTATTAACTAGCTGAGGACTTGAGGCTGCAGGTCAGCGTGGCTGGCTGAGCCCAGGTGGTTTTGTTCCAGCTCAGGGAGCCAGGGAGTGAGTGGGAGGGGGGCTGGGCACGGCATGTGGCCAGGAGTATGGCCTGGCAAACACGGGGGTGGGGAGAGGCTTGCGTGCCACACGTGTAGGTGCATGAGTTGTGAGTCTGGTCTGCGTTGTGGGAGGAAAGTGTGAGTGTGTCTGTGAGATACTGCGTTGCAGCTGGAAGAGCAAAGGCTTCAGAGGCCTGAGTCTGGATCCAGGTCCAGGATGACCCAGGTGAGTCACAACCATCTTTGAGCCCAATTCTCAGCACAATGGAGACGATAATCCCACCTGGCCAGTTGTTGGCAGGATTCAATGCCCAGCTGGGGGATAAGGTACCTAGCTGAGTTCCAGGAAAATTACTTCGTGAGAACTATTGTTGTTCTAATTATTATTCAGAAATGTCTGGCGAGGGGTACACAGAAGTCCCTCCGACCAGTGTGTGGTCTGCGTGCCTGGGGGTGGGAGGCACCATGTATGGGTGTTGGAGAATTGCCAAGAGGCCTGAGAAGGATAGGAGGCACCCGTGGGTCTAGAAGATTCTGCTCGAATCTCACCATCCTGCTTCTCATTCCAGGACCTGGAGAGCAGGAAGGGGAGCCAGAGCAGGCGTGGGGGGAAGAGCGCAGTGAGGGGGGTAGTGCCAGCTAGTGTGTGTGTGTGTGTGTGTGTGTGTGTGTGTGCAAGGGAGGCCTGGGAGTGGGAGTCAGGCGTGCAGGTCTGCTGCCCATCTGCCTAGGTTTGAAACCTAGCTGTGTGACCTTGGGCAAGTCATTTAATCTCTCTTTCCTTCAGGTTCCTCCTCTTAAAAATGGAGATGATGATGATGATGATACCAACTTCACAGGCTGGTTGTGAAATGAGACAAGTGACTACCAAGAAAACACATAACAGCACTGGGCACCTGCCGCATGATGTCCAAACTAGCCCTTATTTTTATTTGCCAAGCAAGACTTTGTGCCAGGCCTGGGTAAGGGCTTTACTTGCTTAAGCTCCTCAAATCCTCTCAGGTACTGTCATCAACCCTCCCATTTTACAGATGAAGAAACTGAGGCGCAGAGAAGCCAGGTGCCTAGCCCTGGGGCAAAAGGGCTGGTTGGTGGCAGAACCAAGTTCCCAGACCACGTCTGCCCAGAGCCCCAGGTCCCAGAGCACCCTCCTAAGGGCCAGCCAGGTATACCCACCAGCTCCCATATGCTAAAAACATCACGGAACGTCCCTGTGGCCCAGGTCAGGGTGGGGGAGTGGGGAGGGTACTGCTTCCTGGCTTGGGTGTGCATGTGGTCTCGGACACCGCATATACAGGTGACTAGCTAGTACACACAGGCGTGATGATCATGAAGTCTGCAGGCTCTGGCGTGCTCCTGTGTGCGCGCTTATGTACATATACACCCGGCAGGCTGAACCCTGCAGATCCTACTCCAGCTACTAGTGTGGGGGACTCTTTAGATATGAAAGGGCTGCCCCTCAAATCAAGTAACTTCTCTCTGCTCACTCTACCCTGTTTGTGGCTCTTTCCCTCTTACCCCCACCCCTCTTAAGGCACACACTCAAAGGGCACACAGAGCCCACACACGATGCCTAGAAATTTGTATGTGGTTAGTACTGGTTGCAGACCACTGAGAAAAATGGTACTATCCAAACACACAATCCTCCCTCCAGCCCCGGAGCACGGAGCAAGAACCTGATCTACAGTAGACATTTGATACCCACATTTGAAAGAAATGAATGAGGCAGGTACTGCCATGATGCCCATTTTAGAGATGGGAACACTGAGGCCTGGAGCAGGTGCAGTGATTTCCCCACAATTCTACAACGGAGCTGGGACCCCCACGTACACTGAGCCGCAGCCACTGTGGAGGGCTGGGAGCACATTCAGCGTGCTCTCCCTCTGGGCCAGTGTGCGCTTTCCTGTTTTTGATGTTCGGAGGAGACTCACGTGGCTGGGCTGGTAAATGGACAGTCTATTTGCAAGGCTGCCCATTCCAGAGATGGGCCCCTCTGAGCACTCTCCTCCCCCTGCTTCCAAGGCTTCCCACTGCCTAAGGCTAAACGTCAAGGTCCTTCAGAGCCTGTCCCCTCTGTCCTCATCTCCCAACCCTCTCACGGGAGCTCATCCAGCGGATTTCCCTGCTCCTGAACTTAACTTCCTGGCCCTGTGATTCTGTCCCTGCCACCTGGCCCTCACCATCACTCCACCCCGGAGTGCCCTCTTCCTATTCCAACCCCATCCTTTTTGGCCCTGCGGGGCCACCTGGGGGAAGCCTGTGTTCACATCTCTTCTCCTGCAAGAGCACTCGTCCCTCCTGCAGCTCCTTCGTTCTCAAGCCCCTGCCTCAGCCCAAGCCCACCCAGACCGAGATCTGTCACCAGAGTCATTCACATGGCGTCCAGTCTTCCCATTGGCCCATCTCTGTGCCTCTGCACAGGGGAAGGCGTGGCACACGTTTGGGCACTGCATTAACCACAAAGAGAGTAACAAGCAAGGTGAAATGGCAGGAGGCAAGAAGCCGACAATCATGTGTTAAAGCCCCATTTCTTTCCCTTTCAAGGTGAGTCACATCAGACCAGTCACTTCTCCTCTCTGACCCTCAGTTTCTTCATCTGTACAACAAGTAAAAGAGCTTCTGAGGCACAAATGCAACACTCTGTGGCATCTTCCACTCTCCCCAGTGCAAGGACTCAGAAAAATCACTCTATATCTGCATTTCTGAATTTCCCAGGCACCCACTGTGCTAGGCCAAACGGCCCAGGATATCACTTTATGTCTTCATTTTCAGGAACACACCAAGCTTTTTCCTGCCTCAGGACCTTTGCACCTGTGCTTCCCCACATCTTTGCATGCTTAGCTCTCTCTTTATCATTATGACCTCTGCTTATTTGTCAACTCCTTGACCACTCAATCCCAAGTAGCTCCCAGTGGCCCCCATCCTCCCTATCCCACTACCCTGTTTATTTTCGTCATATCTCTTATAAGCAATGATCCCTTTTAACCACTTGTTGACTGTCTCAGGAGAAGGCAAAGTCCATGTGGGCAGGGACAGGGTCTTGTCAACACTGTTTCCGCACCTCCTGGAGCGGTGCTGGACATGACTCAATGCATAGGTATTGGCTGAGTCCATGACCCTCAGAACTAGGGAGCTGGGATACAAGCCAGGCTCTGGGCACGTGGCCTGTGAGGTCCCCTCTGTCTCCCACAGCCTCTCACTGGCCCCCTTTTCCATGTTTGTCTCTACAGACTGGGGTCTCCTCTCCAGCTCTGCCCTTGGCTGAGTCGTCTGGTGGCATCCCCAGGCCTGGCTCAGGGCCTGGCACGGAGGAGGAGTTGGGTAAATGTTGATGGTGTTAAATTGGACCTCTCTCAAGCTCCTCACCACCCACATCTGAGGAGCCCTGGGAAGGGGCCAGCAAGGAGATGAAAGGTTTCAAAGTTGGTCCTTTCCGTGCAGATGGAGCGGGGGCGGGAAGAGGTGAGTGAGGGGTACGAAGGGCGCTACTGGAGAGGAGGGGAGCAGGTGGATGGAGCACTGACCTCGGAGGCAAGGAGTCGGCTTCTACTCCTGCTTCTGAACTCACTGTGGGAGCCCGGGAAGCCTCCTCCCTCCTCCCTCTCTGGGCCTGTTTCCTGGCAAATATGGGTGATAACGCACCCCCACCCCCAGAGGTCTGGGGCCCAGACAGGGGCTGACAGACTGTCCAGCAGCCTGGGTGGAAGGGCAGCGACGAGTTCAAAGGCGGGCTGGTTCTGGCAGAGCCGGTACAGCTCCCGGAGAATGAGCTCCTCAGCCCGCTGGGGGTGGGGGGTGGGGAGGGGGGGCACTGTCCTTGCTGCCTGGGCTCCTGTCACTGCAGGGACCCCAGCCGCCCTCTTCCAGGCTCGTCTACCACTCCTCTGCCTCTATATGTCCCACGAGCTGCTCCTCGCCTGGACCGCTGTCCCCTCCTGCTGACACCTGGCCAGACCCAGGTACTCAGCCCAGTTCCATTCCTACCTCCTCCAGGACGTCCTTCCAGACCCCTGAGGGACCCCCCAGTCTGGGACCCCAGGGCAGTTAAGTAGGGCGGCACCTTCGTGACCTCACCGGGGGCTGCCTGCCACATAAGATTGCACAGTGCCCTGTACAACTCCAAGAGAGCCACTCCCACGGATGACGACGGGACCTGTGTCAGACTAACTTCCCTGCACGCTCTCCAATGCTCAGCACGGCCGGGCACACAGCGGGCTCAGATGTCATTCGCTGACCACATACAGGGGCTCCAGGGAGGAGGCAGGGCTCCAGAAACATGCCCATCCGCCCAGTAGTAGCCATTCCCTCCACCCCTGACCTCCTCTGGGTCAGCTTCTCCTGCAACCTTTCCCTTTCTGTTCTGTCTGACCTTCTTAAGCAGAAGCCACAGTCAGGGGCTCCCCAACCCCTGCAGCCCCCAAGCCCTTCCAGGGACACCAACCATGCTGCAGCACCCCCTCCCCCATCCTCCGGTCTCCATCCCTGCTCTGCCTCTCTCTACTGGTGTGTTTCCACACTGCCAGGCAGGTCCCTCTGTTTCTCTCAGCTACTCTTGTCCTCTCTACCCACTCGCCCCTCTCGGATCTCTTCCTCATCGTTGGCCTATCCGCATCTCTGTGTCTTTCTCAGTCTTTCTGCTTTTACATTTCATTCACTCACCGCGCATTCAGTGAGTGTCCACTGAGTGCCGGGCGTCGGGCAAGACCCTGAGGATACAGTGGTGAATACAGAGACATGAATCCTTACCCGCATGGAGCTTGTTGTGTCCGGGAGAGAGACGAAATAATTAGAAATCAGGCAAGGTGTTATCAGATCGTGAAGAAGGCTAATGAGGACAAAGAAATGAGGAAAGGGGATATGGAGGGTTGGGGCCAGGGGTTGGGAGTTGGGGAGGGGTTGACATTTTTTAAAGGGTGGTTAGGGGAGGACTCACTGAGAAGGCCTCACTCTTGAGCAGAGACTTGGAGGAAGTGAGAGGACACACTATGGGCACATTAAGGGGAGAACATTCTGGGCGGAGGGATCAGCAGTTGCAAAGGCCCTGAGGCAGAGGTGAGCCTGGTGAAGTGTGGAGCTGTGAGGAGGTCAGTGTGGCCGAGCAGAGTGAACCAGGGGAAGGCGGGGAGTGGGGGTGAGGTCTGAGGAGTTTGCAGTGAGGTCTCATCACTGGGTTGGGGTCACTTGCTCTTTATTCTGAGCCCGAGAGGTGCCTTTGGAGGGCTTTGGGCAGAGGAGGGCTGGGCTCTGGTTTACACTTGCGCAGTTTCAATCTGGCTCCTGTGCAGAATCTAGATTACAGAGGGGTGAGGGCAGAGGCAGGGAGACCAGCAGACAACTGATAATCCAGGCGAGAGAAAGAGGTGGCCTGGCCGCAAGGTAGCTGAGGTAGCCATGGGGGGTGGGGGTGGGGAGGTCAGATTCTGGATCTGTTTTTAAAGTGGAGATGACAGTCTGCTGCGCTTGGGGGGAGGTGTGAAGGACTGCAGGGGAGACGTCACCAACATTTTGGATGGAACAACTGAAAGAAAGGAGTGGGATTTTGTTTTTCTTTTTATGGAGCGACCAGGAGCTCCGTCCCGAACACGAGTTTGCGGTGTCCAGTGGTGATCCGGAAGTTGTGGAGAGGAAGAGGTGGGCAGGACAGTGGACCTGGGGAGTCGGGCCTAGATGGACCGGCTGAGAGCAGGAGGGGGCGCATGCGGGCAGCGGAGGACCCAGCCTGACCCGCTCACCCTGCTGTGTCTGTCTCACTTGGTTCTCCCTCCTTGTCCTGAGTCCCTTGTCTCTGTCCGTCCTCACATCTGCTTCCTTTATCCCAGAACTCCAGCTGTGTCCATCTCTCTCCCCTCCCCCACACCAACTTCTCCCTTCCCTCCCACCCGGGTCCCCTCCCCCGCGCCCGCAGTACGGGCGTGGCGGTGGCTGGACAGCAGGCAGCAGGCGTCGGCCCCGGGCGGGGGTCTCACCGGACGGGCCGGTTGGCGGCGTCGGGGTCCCGCGCAGTCACCACGCCGACCAGGGAGCCCACCTGCGCGTCCTCCTGCACCTCCAGGAGGCCGGAGGGCGGCCGGAACTCGGGGGGCTCGTCCACGTCAGTCACCGCCACGCGCACGATCGCCTGGTCCCGGAACGTGCCCAGGTCAGCGAAGCGGGGGTCCACGAACTTGTTGAGGGCCTCCAGGACCACGGTGTGGACGGGCTGGGACTCGAAGTCCAGGCGCTGGAGGAGGAAGCAGAGGGCTGGTGGGTGGGCTGGGGCGCTGACGGGTCCCAGGCGGGAGGCAGGCCCAGAGCGGGAGGGGCTGGCCCAAGGTCACTGCAGACTCCGACCAACCCCCTGGGTGAAGACAGTGGGGCCTGTAGGACCCGCTCTCCTGGGGACGCACAGCCACTGGGGCTAACAGTATTGACATCCTGACTTTTGCTACTCAGCACAGTATGTGGGGGCATGTCATTAATTTATTAATTTATAGAGCGCTTGCAAGGTGCCAGAGCTTTAAACATATTAACTTATCTAACCTTACAACACCCCTCAGAGGCTTGTATTGTTATCTCAGTCTACACATGAAACCGAGGTCCAGAAATCTGTAACTTGCCGCAGATCACTTAGCAGGGGTTACTGGCAGAGGCGGGATTCGACCCCGGGCGGTGCGGCTCCCATGCCCTGGCCCTTACCCCGCAAGGGGAAGGGCAGTGGGCCTGCTGCTGGCCAGCTGTGTGCTGGGGGCAGTCTGTTTAACCTCTCTCTGGGCCTCAGTTGGGAGGATTAAATGCAATATTCCCTGGTACACAGGCGGCAGCAACTAATGCGCCTTGAGCCCGATAAGCCAGGCTGCCTTAGAGCTTTCGTGGAGATCTGGGTAAACCCACGCTGAGCCTTGCTTCTCATCGGGATGCTAACTGGTGACCCTCTGATGAATGAGCTCCATGGCCGTGTGTTGGCTCTGGCCTCCTAAAGACAATGCCTTACAGCAGGGATTTCCAACCGGTGCCCCGCAAGAATTTTTAAAACATGCAACGCCTGACTATTGAGTCAGGGGCACTGACCTCTTTTCCCTTAGACTGTCACCTAAAAAAGAAATGACAACGGCCAAAACACAACGATGGCCGTCCGGTGTGAAGGAATCAAAATGATGCCTGTTTATTTTTATCGGATCGGCAAAAAATATCACGTTGTTTGGCGTGCGGCTGAATTTCAGTAATTAGTTTATGTGCCACGAGGTGAGAAGGCAGAGGGTACTGCGGTGGGGGGGGCTGCAGGCACCTCAGTTGCACGGGGTCGGGGAGCTATCTGAGTACAAGGGTGACCTTCCTAGAGATCTGTCCTGTGTGTAGGGACCCGCCCTTCCTCTCAGAACTTCCCACCCTCACTTTTTCCAGCAGCAAAAATTGCCACCTCCTTCCTGTTGCCTGAGAAATCAGGATGCAGGGAGGCAGGCAGTGGCCTGGCCAGAGAATGAGCGATGAGTTCTGGAGCCAGGTCATCAATCAGGCAGGGCCCTGCGCCCTGAGCCAGCACCGAGCCAGAGAGGCACCTTAGGTCCAGGGCTGCAGCTGGGGGGGGGGGGGGGGGGGCTGGGCGGGAGGAGAGGAGCAGCACTGGGGCTCAGAGCAAGCAGGTGCTATGCTGAAGTCCCGGGCTGGGGATGGAGCCTGATTCTACTGCTCTGTGATGCTGTGCCTCTCTGGGTCTCCGGTTCCCCATCTGTGAAATGGGCTCATCTGACAGTGAGGATACTCACTGTACAGTGAGATCAGAAGACGGAAAACCACATTTTGCTGAAAAGTGTGGATTCTGGAGACAGACTCAGACTGCCTGGGCCCACATCCCTACTCTGCTCTGCAAGATTCATAACCTTGGCTGCAAATGACTGAACTTCTCAGGGCCTATGAAGAGAGCTGCTGTAGGGATGGAATGAGTTAATACGTGGCAAGCAGGTGAAGGGTGCCTGGCACATTGTAAATACTTTATTATAAGTATCAGCTATCACATTATTATCCTCTGGGAAGTAGATGAGGAAACTGGCGGTTTTCTCTGTGCTCACACCCCCAAGGCCAGCTAGGGAGTGGGTCCTAATGTACCTACTGAGTGAATGAAGGATCATTAGGGGATCATTAGGAGCAGATGTTTCTGTGGGTCTCAGAAGGCAGAGCTCAGGCTGATAGGAACAGATTTAGGGAGACAGATTCTGGCTAAATGGGAGGAGGAAGAGCTGGACAATGACAGGGAGTGAGCATCCTGTCCCTGAAGGTGTATAAAGGTCTACAACCCTCTGAGAGCCAGTGCAGGGGATTCAGACCTCTGCAGGGTTGGAGCGAACAGTCTCAGAGGCCTGCAAACCCTGAGTTGCCGAGCCCATGACCATGTCCTGGAAAATGGATTTTGCTTATTTATTTGACCTCCACCGTCATCCTCTAGGGATCACTGTTTTCACTTTGGGTTTCTGGTTTCTGGGCAAGCCAGGGGGAGAGAAAGGTGGTTCGGCTCAGGAAAGAGAGAACTTTGAGTCACAAGACCTGGGTTCAAATCCCAACTCTACCCCTTCTAGGCGTGACCTTGGGCAAGTCCCTTTACCTCTCTAAGCCCATTTTCTCATGTGGAAAATGCACACAATGGTGTCTTCTTCAGAGGGAAAGGTGAGGATTAAAGGAAATGAAGCAGGTAAAGGTCCGGGTATGTAGTTGAAGTAGCACTTTGCAGTGATTAAAAGCATGGATTCGCCCTGGCCGGTTTGACTCAGCGGTTAGAGCGTTGGCCTGTGGTCCGGAGAGACCCGGGTTCGGTTCCCGCTAAGGGCACGTACCTCGGTTGCAGTTTGTCCCCGGCCCCGGTTGGGGTTGTGCAGGAGGCAGCCATTCGATATGTCCCTTTCACGTCGTTGTTTCTCTCTCTCTCTCTCCCTCCCACTCTATCTGAACAAAAATGGAAAGGTGTCCTCAGGTGAGGATAAAAAAAAAAAAAAAAGCACGGATTCAAATCTGGATTGAATCCTGGCTCTGACAACTAGCTGTGCAACCTTGGACAAATCGCTTAACCTCCCTGTGCCTCATTTTCTCATTTGTAAAATGGATCTTCTGATTTGTAAAACGGGAGTGAAACCATCTGTGTTTTCCCAGGTTGGTCCCAGGTCTCTGTAGACTATCCCTGGGGTGGAGCGGGGTGGGTGTATTTGGCTGTCAGAGGCCTCCTTGGCTCCACCCCCTAGGGCCTGCCCCCCCCATCCCTCCTGGGGCAGCTGTACCTTCTGTACTACAATGATGGCCTCCTGGGTGTCGCTGTCTGTGGTGACCTTGAACACATGGCCGCCGGTGCCACTCTCCTCTTTGAGGTGGTAAGTCATGTCCGTGTTCTCGCCCACGTCTGAGTCCTCGGCCTTCACGCGTCCCACGGCTGTGCCTATGGGGGCCGACTCCTTAATGCTGAACTGGTACATCTCTGTAGGGGATACGGCTGTGAGCAGGGAGGGGGGCAGCTTCCTCCAGCTCTAGGGGAGAAAATGGGGACTCGGATGGGCTCCAGGGAGGGCAATGTCTGCAAGGGGCTCCCGGCCTGTCCAAGACGGTGCTGAGAGAGGTGTATCCTCTGCAGAAATGTGGGAGATAGTACGAAGAGGAGGGTCCTAAACCCGACCCTGGCTTTGTTTACTGATTAATTTGGGAACGTGCCTCCAGTTCTTTGGGCCTCAGTTTCCCCATCTGCCCAGTAAGGGTGAGAGAAGAGAACCATGGTCAAGGCTGAAGTTCTGGAGTCAGTGCTGGCTGTGTAATCCTGAGCCTTGAATCCCTCATCTGTAGAAAGGGAATAACAACAGTGTCTTCCTAACAGCGTTGTTATCATGATTAACTTAGATGACGATGCCCGTAAAACGCTTAGTACACGGCCTAGCGCATGGAAGCTACTCAGTAAATGGAACAAATTGTATTAAAATGGCGGGGCTTTATGCTGCTTCTTCTGTTGACATTGATCCCTTCATTTCTGCTTATTTATTGAGCAGCTATGATGTTCCAAATGCAGTTTGAGGCATTAGGGTTACAGCAAAAAGCAAAACAGACCAACATCCCAGTTCTCACAGTGCTTTCCTCCTAATGGGAAGAGAAAGACACTAAACAATCCCATCAGTGAGACATGCAGATGTCAGACGATGATGGGCACTTTGGAGAAGAACGAAGAAGGGGTTTTAAATAGGGTGATCAAGAAAGGCCTCGCTGAGAAGATGGCATTTTTGCAAAAGGCTGAGCCAAGCAGATATTTGGGAAAGAGCATTCCAGACAGCGGAAGCAGCAGGTGCAAAGGCCCTGAGGTGGGTGCAATGCCTGGCGTGTTTGAAGAATGGCAAGATGACTGTTGTGGCTACAGGGGCGAAGCAGATGGAAGACCAGAAGAAATGCGGTCAGATGGAACGCAACAGCACCCTCCCCTCCTCTCAGAGCTGAGAGTGATTTGCTACATGACGGGCCAGTGTGGATAAAGCAGGGGCTGTGGAGGTGGGCGTTATCTCTTGGGGTCCCCACACAGGTCTGGATTCCCCCTGAGTGGACTGGGTCCCTCTGGTTCATTCTCACACAGTAGCTGGGAGGCTCTGTCTCTGAAACACCGCTGATCACGTCACGTCTCTGCTTTAACCCTCACGTAGCTCCCCACTGCACTTGGGATGGAGTTGTGTGAGCCCCTCGGCTCGCCCTACGAGAAGCTTGCTGCCTGGCTCCCGCTGACATCTGCAGCCTCACCCCTCTACTCTCCACCCCCACTCTAGCCTCAGCCAGGCTGAAGTTCTTGTAATTCCTTAAATATGACTTGCTCTGTCTCACCTCTAGGCATTCCCACTCTGTATTCTCCTCCCTGCCTTTGCCTCGCAATTCCCACTCTCCCTTTAGTCTCACAGAATGTTACCTCCTCCAGGGAACCTCCCAGACCCCCAGGTTCTGCTCCTGTGTGCCTAGGGTCCCCAGGCACATCCCAGTGTAAGGATCACTGCATTTCCCTGTTACTCATTACTCTGTTTATTCTCATTCTCTCTCTCTTGAAAGGTAGGGACCGCATCTCTTATTCATCACGCATTCTCAATGCCTGGCAGAACACCAGGCTGTCACATAAAAGAAATGTGTGAGTGACTAGTGAGTGAATGAATGAAAAGCAGCATGAGTTACCGGTATACACTCACCAGATTAACGCAAATGAAAGAATCTGACAAGGCCAAGCGCTAGTGAGGATGTACTACAATGGACACGTGCATTTCTTCATGGGGGACGGCAGTTTGGCTTTATTTAGTGACGTTGAAGATGAGCCTATCTCGTGAGCCAGCTGTCCCGCTCCTCTGTGCTTGCACTGAGAACTGTGTGCACAGTGGCACTAGAAGACATGCCACAGTGTTCCAGGCAGTCGCCTCCATAACAGCCTCACACAGGCAACATCCCAACTGTCCATCAACAGTCGAATAGCGAAACCATGGACTACTATACAGCAATAAAAATGAAGGGATCACAGCCACAAGGAACAACACAGGATTTCACAAGCATCATTTTGAGAGGCAGAGTAGCAGGACAAACACTCTGTGTGGTACGATTCCATTTAGATGTACAGATGAACTGAAACTGTGTTAGGGGTTGCACACACAGGTGTGCGTTGACCCGGAGGAAAAGCGAGGAGGTGAAGATCACAAGAGCAGACAGATTCTGGCTAATTCTGGAGGAAGAGTGGGAGAGAAGTTACGATCAGGAGAGGACGTGGGGGGGGGGGCTTCTGGGGTCCTGACTGGTGGTTCCAGGAGTGTTTGCTTTACACCGATGGCCTTCGGTTTGTGTGCTGTAGTTCACAATAAAGAAATGCTAGAAATAAATAAAGAACGCAAAAACGAATGGATGAACGAGTTTTCCTGGGGCCCAGTGCCTTTTCTGTCTCACCCCTTCCAGCTCAGATCTGGCAGAGTCTGGCACAACTGGGCAGAAGACTGGGTGACTCCCACCCTCCTCCTTGGTGCTTGGGTTGGGGCAGCGGGCGGTGGGCTGACTTCTGTGCCAGGCTCCCTGGTGACTGCCCACCCTGCTCGTGTCTGGGCTGAGGCGCTAGGCCGAGATGACGCTGCGCTCTGAGCTAAGGGATTGGATTCCCTTATCTCCTGGGGGTCAGTCCCCTGTGGCGGGGCCTAATGTGAGAGCAGCAGACCTTGAGTAATGACTCGACAGATAGGAATCAGCCCAGCTCCCTGCGGCATTTAGTCTCTGCCAGCCTCCGCAGCTTCCCCCCAGCATGGCATAGTAGCATGGCATAGCTCTCGGCCTGAGCCTGGGACAGAGGGGCTAGCTGGGCTGATAGAGAGGTGGGGGACTAGGCCAGATAACCCCCACCATCTGCTGTGCCAGGAGAAAGGCCCCGTAATTCAGAAGTACAGAGTCCTGTCCTCCAGGCTCAGAGGAGGAGGGAGACACCTGTCACTCCAGACCTCAGCTTCTCTGGGCACAATTATGGTGTCCCTTGGCCTGAGTATGGCTGCAGCCTCTTTCTATATCCCGATGTTCGCCCCCCACTCCTTTGCAAGCTTGGGTCAGTGGCAGATCACGTGTGACAATCAGGACAGGGGTGTGTGCACGGGCCATGAGGGGTGGGCTGGGTGGACAGATGGGAATTCACCGTGGGCAGGTGAGGGGTGGGAAGGTAACCGTGTTACTTGGATGCATGGAAAATCAGACAACTTTGGGGCCCTCCTCTGGGGGTAAGTGGCTGGCTTGGATGGGCAGACAGACAGACAGACAGACAGACGGGAGTCCTTTTGGCGGGAAGCCATAGGGAACTTGGGGTCAGGGGATGGCTTGGATGGACTAACAGACAGACAAACGGATGTTGCCCCCTCCTTCTGGGAAGGCCTTACTCACTCTGTGGGAAACGGGGTGGGTTGTCATTAACATCGGTGACCACGATGGTGACAGTTGTGGAGCCCGAGAGGCCGCCCAGCTGGCCCGCCATGTCTGTGGCCTGGATCACCACCTCATAGCGCTCCTGGCTCTCACGGTCCAGGTCGGGCACCGCTGTCCGGATCACGCCTGTGGGCGAGGGAGGGTGAGGCCCGGGATGCCCACATCGGCTGCTAGCTGACATGGAGACCCTCCACAGGCAGAGGCTGGCTCATTCAGGTTCAGGAGGGGAGTGCGGAAGACGCAGTCATGGCCATGGTGCAGGGCTCAGCAGCCCCCCCATGTGCTCATACAGATAGACTCATAAGCTTGCGCAGAACTCACACTCAGTACTCCACACACTCACACACAGTGCTCTATCACACCTACACATGCACACAGCTATCAGACTCATACACACTTTCAAACACAAACACACACACTTATATACAGACACACGAACACGCACCTACTCTCAAACACACATATGCACTCACACACATACTTCCAAAAATACACACATACAAGCATTCTCAAACATACACACTCACACACCACCCAGAAGCAACAGAACGGACTATCTGGTTTACTAAAAAGAGCCATAGGGACTAGAACCGGCCACGTGTGTGACCCTCTCTGGGCAACCCGTCCCACTTTTGGGGCCTCAGTTTCCCCATGTTAGGATGAGCCCTGGTCTTCCCTGAGGGAGCCTGGCCTGTGCCCGATCGCCTCTCTGTCGGTGGCACTTGGCCCAGAGCCAGGCGCGGAGCAGCAGTTTGGCGAGTGCTGAACAGAGTGACCTGGGCTCGCCCCACGCGCGGGTACACTCACTCTGAGTCACCTGGCCTGTACACACACTAGGTATGTCTCACACGCTTCCGTGCTGCACACATAAGCACACTTGTGTGGTCACAGACACTCCTGCACACTAACACACACTCATTCTCACGCACACCCCTCCACGAGTACGTCACCCCCTGGCCCCCAGCCTGGCGGCCGATTCTCTGTCCGGGCACCAGCTAATGGCCGAACAGACGATTCTTCAAGCTGTTAATGGATGCGGGGGTGGAGGGGCACGGGAATGGGGTGACTGCAAGATGAATTCTGCTGAGGGAAGGCTCGTCTCTCTGCCAGTGGGAGATGAGGGTGGAGCGGGGAGTCGATGAGGCATTCAGAGCTGCCCCCCATGACTCGCTCCAACCTGCCGAGCCAGGTGGTGACAGGTGGTACCCAGGGCCTGAGCACCAGGTGGAGTCATGCACCAGCAGCCCCATGATGCGCCCCATAAAACCCAATCTCTGAGTCCTGATGTCCCCAAGTAGCCTCCAGACTCCAATAAAGGCAGTGGAACGGGAGAAGAGGCTGCAGCGTGTGTGTATTTGCATGTGTAGCTGGGGAGCTGGGTGGGGGTGCTCAGGGGGTGGCCCTGCTGTTGTGGAACCACATGGAGAAATGGCATGTGTACTCTATCTAACAAGGGTCACACAGACCCTCTCTTAGTGGCCTTCGAGGCTTCTCTTATAGGCCCCCTCCTGTCCCTTTCTTTGTCGGAACAGGTCTCCCCAAGGACAGGGGAGTCTTGGAAGCAGATTAACTTGGGATCAATCCCGGATCTGCCCATTTTGGGCCATGTGACTTGAGCGAATCCCTTCACCTCTCTGAAACTCAGCATCCTCATCTGTAAAATGGGACCATAATACCTCCCTAAGGAACAAGATTGCTCAAACTCGGCATTATGGACATTTTGGCAGGACAATTCTACCTCCTAAACGCCAGGACCAGCCCCCTCCCCACCAACCCCAACAAAAATGTCTTCAAACATTGTCAAAGAGCCCTGGGGGCAAAATCAGTTGAGAATCACTGGTGCGGAGTTTCATCTCATGAGAATCCCATGTGACAGTGACAGTCACTGACACTGAGGTGCACGTACTCTGTACCTGGCACTGTGCTAAGCACCTAAAGTGAATGGTCTCATTTAATCTTCTCACTACCCTATGAGGAAGGTGCTGTGATTACCCTCATTTTACAGCTGGGGAGATGGAGGCACAGAGAGGCGAAGGACTTGTCCAAGGTCTCCCATGTGGGAGGCGCACAGCCAGGATTCAGGCAGGTGCTCTGCTGGCATGGTGTAAGGAAGGAGGATCCCTGCCTCGCCTGCCTCTATCCCCTGCCCCATCCACCGCCCAGGATAAGGGCAGAGCCAGGCCCCTGACAGAGGGATGCTACTTATGTGGTCCTGTCAGCCCCCGGAATATTCTTGCTCTTCTCCATCTTAATCAGGCAAGCCATTTGTTCCAATCATGCAGCAGGCCCTTCTTGACCTACCCCCCACATTCTGCACCTCGACACTGTGGTTGTGAGGGGCGCCCTTCTAGGGACGGGGCAGGGCCCAGGGTCTGTCAGCCCTGACAGCGGGGGCTGTCCTGGGAAGGTGGGCCTGTTGGGTCCTCTGCCTCTGGCGGGGGGTGGGTAGCAGAGAGGACGAGAGAGACACATGGAGACACAGGTAGAGAAGGGGGAGGAGAGGGACACAGGGAGGGAAGGAGACCTGTAGAGACAGAAAAAGAGAAAGGGGAAGAGGGGAATGGTAAAGCCAGAGAGAAATCACACCCAGGAGGAGACAGTGAGAGGGACAGATCGACAGAGAGACAGAGACCTCGAGAGAAACAAAAAGAAACAGTGGAACAGACGTTCCCACAGACAACAGAGAGGCAGAGGGACAGGAAGGGGAGAAGAAAGGTGGCGGCAGGGAGGAAAGGAGAGGGCAGATGGGCAGATTGGTAGTGGGGGACCCTGAGGGAACCGCGTGGAAAGGCAGGCAGGGGAGCTGACTGGCTGAGCAGTTACTTTGTGCCAAGCTTCGGACGGTCGCTCATCATCTGGGATCTCACCGAAGGCAGAGCGGCTGCTAAGGGGACTTGGGGGTGCTGTGCCTCTATGAGCTTGTTTACAAAAGCTCAGCAACCCCAGCTCCGAGTGGGGGTCGGGGCAGGGGTCTGGCTGAGGGCCACACTGTGGGTGAGGAGCCATGCTCCTGAGGCTGGCCTCCCCGCTGGCCCGGAACTGGGGACCCTGAACTCGTCTGTTTTGGAAACTGGTGACGAAGCCTTGAGTGTATCAGGCGCCATCTCTGGGTGACTGGGAGGTGGGTACGCAGGGGACAGAGTACCTCTGGGCCCTGCCTCAGGGTTTCCCTCGGTTGCGATGGTAACAGCTCCCAGTGAACCACACCTCCCGCAATCCATGCCCCGGGCCATCCCTTCCCACACTGACTCTGGCCTGGGCCATGCCGCTTGCTTTGGCCAATGGGACATCAGCAAGTGTGACAAAAGCAGAGGCTTGATCAGCCCTTGAGCCCTGGGGCCTGACCTCTTGGAACCCCGAGACCACCATGGAAGAGGCCCGGGAAGAAAGGGGCCCAGGAAGGGAGCCCTGGAGGGCCAGGCCCAGCCCTGCCAGCTGACTGTCACCTGTGAGTGACCAACAAACCCACAGAATTATGACAAATAATCAATCAGTGCTGCATTAAGCCACCGCCTTCGGGCCAGTTTGTTCCTTGGCAGTAGATCCGCTGAGAGAGATTGAGTCCGGCCGCTCCTCTCCTGGGCACACTCATGCCGCTGCATCTAACTGGGGGTCAGCGGCGCAAGGCCCCAGACGGCCTCCCGCACGGCTCTGGCTGTCGACCCTGGCTGTCGGCAGGACCTTCTCCACTCCTCCAGCAGGCTGGCTGGCTCCCTTACAGGCCGGCCCAGGACCAGGTTCCTGGACCACTTTCCAGGAGAGAGTGAAAGCTTCGTGACTCTTAAACCCTAATCTGGGAATGCATAGAACATCACCTCTGCTACATCCTATTGGCCAAAGCAGCCACGAGACCCGCCCAGTTTTAAGGGGCGGGAGGTGGGCAAAGTCTCTTAACTCTGAGGCCAGTTGAGGGATGGGAGGAATTAACAAGAAATCTACTCGAATCTACTCCCCACTCCCCATGCTGGGAGAAGCATCCTGGAGGCTAGTGCACTTCCGGGGCGGGGGGGGGGGGGTGGCTAGAGTAAAACTTCCACATCAGCCTGTGAAGGTGTCCTTGCAATCTGGCTCTGCAAATTCATTCACTCATTTAGTGAACCCTTTCTGAGGGCCTACTATGTGCAGGGGCTACAGAGTCAGATACGAGGCAGTACAAAAAGGAGGGACTTTGGAGTCAGACAGACAGGGTTCAAGGCTTCTTTCCACCTTTTGTATGCTGTCTGACCTTGGGCAAATTCTTGAGTCTCTCTGAACCTCAGTTTCCTATTCTGTAAAATGGGGACACCCAGTTGACAGGGCAGTTGGGAGGATGAAATGAGACAAAGCTTCCAGCAGCAGGTCTCACATTTTGGAGATGCCTCGCTGGTCCCCCTCCTCAAGTCTTGGGCTGGGTACCCCATAAATAAGTTCCATGAGGGCAGAGATCCACGCTGGCCTTGCTCATCATCTTATCGATAGGGTCTGGCACATAGTAAATGTTCAATAAACATTTTGACTGCCTGACTTACTCCCACAGACTCTGTCCCACCTCACACAGCCTGGGTGTAGTTGTCTATTTGTTGCTGGCTTCTCTGTTGGAACAGAAGCCCCATGAGGGCAGAAACCAGCCCCAGGATCTGCCACTTAGCAGGTGCTCAGCAAAGGTCAGTTTCATCCCTCCCCAGGAAAACAGGTACCTCTGGCCCACCTGATAATTTTCAGCGACTATCTTGAAGTCTGGGAGCCAGTCTCTCTCTTCTTACTGGGGTTGCGGTGGGTGGGGCTGGGAATTAGAACCTGGCCATGGCTCCCTGCAGCCTCCTCTCCTATCTTCCCCGGTTCCAGCTGTTGTCCTCGCCACCCCTGCTGTCCCCTCCAAATGCCGCAGAAGGGGCCCTGGAGCCCGAGCGATGCCTCATTAGACAGAAAATGCCATCCCTGTTGCCCCGGTGGGGGGCTTGCTGGCAGGCCTGGCCTTTAAAACACACGCGTTAATTTCTCCTCTGGCACTGGGCCTCGTGGCACACCCCCCCCTCCCGTCCCTCACACCTTCCTCTCAGGCCCATTCAGGCTCTGCTCCCTGCTCTCTGCACAGTGAGAACAGACTGTACCTCGCAGCAGCTGCTAAATATAGACCGGCACCGGGAATATTCCTGGCTGGGGAAATGGAGCCGGGCTGGGAAAGGCACCAGGCAGCTCCTGCAGTGGGGCTAACGGCAAGGGGAGGAGAACCATGGTTCTTTCTAGGAGATGTCAACAAAGATCCTTTCTGGCTGAGAAAGTTGAGGGACCCTAAAACTAGGACCCCATTGACACCTTGCCTGGTGCCCACTCCATGGCTTCTTGGGAACTAACTCTTCCTGCCCTTGTAGGCTCCCTGGCTCCCCACTCGCCCCCTTCCTCCAGGCCCTCTGCAGTAGGAGATGCTCTTCCTTGGAACCTGGACGTCCTCCTTACTCTCCTGGAGTCTGACTCTTCATCTGCACCCCCCCCCCCGCCCCCCGCGCCTCCCAGACTCAGTCCCGGCTCTTCCCTTATTTCAAAGTCTTTTCCCTCCCCCTGCTCACCCCCTGAAACCTCCTCAGTCTTCTCCTCCATTTTCTTCTCCTTCCCCTCCCCCTCCTCCTTCTCTTCCTCCTTCCCCTTCTCCCCCCCCCCCCCTTCCCCTTTGTTTCCATTTAGTACCAAGTACTGTACTGAGCTCTTCACACACTCGCTGGCCCCGGGCCTACAAGCTCTCTCCTAGATATGAGTGGCTCCCACCCTCACTTCATGCAGGTCTCTGTGCCCCAAAGTCATCTCCCACAAAGGCCTGTCCTGATTGCTTCATCTTACCCTGTTTTATATTTCTTTCTAGTACTCACTGCTACTCGACATTATGTTGTATGTTTATATGCTTGTGTTCTGTATTCCCAACTTGAATAAAAGCCCCTTGAGGGCAGGCTCTTGGACTTGCCTACTGCAGCATTCCTAAAGATTAGAACAGAGCCGGGCACATAGTAGGCACTCAATAACGAGTTGTTGAACGAGCCCGGCTGGTGTGGCTCTGTGGATTGAGCATTGTCCCATGGACTGAGAGGTCCCGGTTCGATTCCCTGTCAGGGCACATGCCTGGGTTGTGGGCTCAATTCCCAGTAGGGGGTGTGCAGGAGGCAGCCAATCGATGTTTCTCTCTCCCTTCCTCTCTCTCTAAAAATAAAGACATTAAAAAAAAAAAGAGGAGTTGATGAATGAATGAATGAACTCTCCCATTGAATCCTCACAACAGTCATGAGAAACTGGTATTCTTATCCCTCTGTGGACATGGGGAAACCAGAGTTTATAGAGCCCCAGCCATTCTTGGAGGTTCAAGTCCATGTTTCAGACAACCTGTTAGATGTTCTAGATGGTTCTTTCCTCCTCTTCTCTCATCTTAAAGCCAATATGGTTAAAATTGAGGTAATTAGCTCTGCACCAGATCACAGGACAGCTCCTAGTTTTCTTACTCCACATTCCTCCTGTTTCTGTAGAGAAAGTCCCTACCCATCCCTGGCCCCAAAGTTAGGAACTCCCGGGTTCCTCCCTCCCTCCAGTCTCTTATATTTCCTAGACCTCCAAGGGTTGCCCTTCTCAGGGTCTCACTTAGCCCTCAGACCCCTCCTCAGCAACTCAGCTAGCCCTCACAACCAATTCTACATCATCTCTGGACCCCTAACCAGAAGAAGCAGGTTAAAGAGTCTGAGTGGATGCCAAGAAGGGGCACAGGCTTTGGGTTTTGTCCTTTGGGACTCTCTGCTGGGCACCCCAGGCTCCTGGGTCTCCCTGAATTCAATCGCTGTCTCTGAGCCATGCTATGCAGCAGTAGCCCGAGGGATCTCGTTAGAATGAAAACCTGAGCATGTCGCTTCCCTGCTTCAAAGTCATCAATGAACCCACAGTGTTGGTGAGGAGGAAGGGAACCGAGCTCCCTTGTATGTGGCTCTCAGGAGTGCAGTTTGGTACATGTTAACATCATCTATCCAGAGCCCAAATAAATGCACATGCTCTTTGACCCAGCTTCTCCACTTCCTGAAAATTATCCTGTGGATATAACCACACATGCACAAAAATGATGTATGTATGGGGTTATTCACTGTAGCATTGTTCGTTGTAGCAAAAGATTGGAAAGAGCGTAAGTCCATCAATAGGGGACTGGTGAAACAAATCTTTGTGTATACACAACAGCTGTTAAATAAAAGAATGAGAAAGCTCTTTATATACTGATATGGAATAATCCTCAAGATGTATTGGTAAGCAAAAAAGGCAAGCAGTGTGTACAGTATGTTATAGCTACCATTTGTGTAAAAAAAAAAATAAAACAAATCCATGTACTTATTTTCTTGTACATGTATAGAATAGCTCCGGAAAGATACACAAGAAAATTACATTGGTTGCCTTGGAGACGCAGACTGGATGGCTGGGGGACTGGAAGGGGTAAAGAATTTCCACTAAATACCCATTCGGACTTTTTGAATTTTGAACCTTGATATATATTTTCTACTTAAAAAATAACTTAGTTTTCAAATGAATGAGTCCAAGATCTTGTAGGATATACACCCCCAGTGGCTTCCTTTGGGGCTGCAATTACTGGGGCTGGTGGTAGGATGCTCACTCTTTCTTTCTTCTTTCCTTTCTTTCTTTCTTTTAAACCTTTCTTTAATGTTTGAATGTTCTCTAAAATGGATTAGTTTTGCAAGAAGAAAAATAAAGATATTTTGTGTAAGAAAATGCAATTATAACAGTGCTTATGGACTGGACTCCTCAATCCCTCTCCAAACAAAACAAAACAAACACAAACAAAAACCCAAAATGCAAATCCATCAAACACTCCTCCCTTCTCCGTATCCCTGAGAATAAAGTCCTAGCTCTCCAACCTGGCTTACACTGGGCACCTCAGGCCCCTACCAGTCTCTCCACATCACTTCTCCACATGCCCCCTTCTCCAGTCCTGAGTTGCTTACAATTCCCCTCGTGCCTCAGGCTGTTCTCTTCCTCTGAGTTTTGCCTGCACCGTGCCCTCTGCCTGGAATGCCCTTCTCTGAATCTCCGGCTGGCCAAGATCTTCTTATCCTTTGGAGATGCTGCTACTGCCTCCGAGAACCTCGCATCTTAAATCTCAATTGCCCATGCCTGTGCCCTGCCCCCACCTGACTATGAGCCCCAGGACAGCATTTGTCCCCTCCTATCCCAGGGGCGGTGACAGCGCCAACTCTGGAACTGGCAGCCACTCCTAGCTGTGTGACCTCCAGTGAGCCACTTCGCTTCTCTGAGCCTTGGTCTCCTCCTGTCCTCCCTGCCACTCTCGCCAGGCCCCTCAGAGACTTACCCGGGCTCTGGCCTCAGAGTGAAGTGGGGCACGGTGAGTGGGGGTGCTGCACCCCCACTTTGGTGGTGTTGGGGAAGGGTAAATAAGCAAAGACTCCTCTCTTCCCTAACAGTCTGTTTCTGTCTTTCCGTCAGATCCTCAACGACTGCCCTTTGAACAGAGCTTTCCTGACTGCGGGAGAGGTGCCCTTCACCAGGCGACCCCCCCAAGCGACACTTACGACGCGTCTGCCTCAGTTTAGCTCCAAGGACAAGGGGCTGCTTCGTTCAGACCTCTGACGTCCTTTGGGGCGCCCATGGTGGCCGCCTCCTGCCTTTGTTTCTCTGCGAGTCTTGCAGGTGCCCCCACCCCATTCTTTGTTTCTCAGTCCTTCCCTCTTCCTTTCTCGCTGCCCCACCCTCTCCTCGACCCTTGGTCTCCTGGAGCTGGCAAAACGCTTCCGTGTCCTCTGCCTACTCCCAGTGCCCCGTGGTTAGAAAGCTGGGAGGAGATGTCTCTGCTGTGGTCCTCCGCCCCCTTGCGTCACTCCTGTGGCTCCGCCAGGCCCCGCCCCGTGCGGCCCCGCCCCTTTAGCCCGGCCCCGCCCCTCACCGGTCTTGGGGTCCACCGTGAAGTGGTGCTCTCCATCCAGTAAGCTGTACACCAGCCGAGCGCTGCTGCCATACGTCGGGTCATCTGCATCCGAGGCCATCACCTGCATCACCGATGTGCCTGGGCCCGGGGGACCAAGCAACACAGGGGTCACCTGGGGCTGCTGAGCCTGTCCTCCCCACCCCCCTACCCCTAAGGAAGCTGTGAGAGGAGACGCAGGCTGGAGGTCATTGAAGGCAGTTCCTTCGCAGTCCCCATGCTGGCACTGAGTCCCCACCTGCCTCCTGCCCGGGGGCCTTCGTAGTGCCCGACACAGGCATGAACGTGGAGTCAAGTCTCCGTCCCCTGGCTCCCAGCTGTAGGACTCTGGCAATGGAAGGCAGCCTCAGTCTCCTCTTCAGCAAAATGGGGAAAATCCTAGTCCTTGGTTCATGAGGAAATGCCTTCTAAACTCCCAGTGCAGAAGGGGCTCAGAGCCGCCTCTCAGTGGGTGGCGCTCATGGTCATTGTCACCAGGTAAGGTCATGACTGTCAGAGTTAGAGCTAAGACTGGAAACCAGGCACCTTATTCCCAAAGCAGAGGTCTTTCTATCCACGCCGGCCCCTCCGGATTTCTCAAGGAAATTCTGCCTGCTTCCTCTGCACACCCCTCACCCCCTCACTTCCCTCAGCCCCGTCCTGCTTTAGGATGGGGGAGTCGGGAATGAGGGGGCAGCCCAGAAGGACCACCAAATTCACTGGGGCTCAGCCAGTGTCCCTTGTCCCTGGGGAAGGAGAATGGCAGTGCCCAGCTTCCCCTTTGGGAAGGTAGTTGGCTGTCGCCCTGGTGCCCTCCTTGCCTCTCCCCACCCCTGCCCAGATGGTCCCCGCCCCCAGACACACACACTTCTCATGCTCTGCACGTAGGCTGCAGGGGAGAGTATAAATTGGATAAAAGTCCATCAAACAGTGGCAATTAAGTTATTGATTTTCGACGCTGCCTCATTAAACTGGGAGCTTCTCTCGGCCTGTCCCAGAGATGGCTCTAATTTGACATCATGTTCAATTTGACAAAAGCAGGGCTTGGGACGTGAGGCTGGAAAGGATAGGGGTGAGGGTTATGGTGGGGGAGGGGCGGAATGGGGGGAAGACAGAAAAGCCATCTGGTCTATCTGAACATTTTCAGAAAGGAGGGGGTGAAGTGAAAGACCCAAGAGGGAGTCCTAGGGGCTCAGGATATGACCCAAGGGGGTAAGACTTAGACCTCACTTCAAGGAGGTGCCCTCTTCTGAGTGACCTGCTGGTGAAGGGAGGGGGCCCAGGCCTGCTGAGGTGAGGTTTTGAGTGGGGCCCTCCTGGAGTTGGGCTGGGCTCTCCGGGCCAGCAGGGCAGTGTGCTGGGAGGGGAGGCCAGCTCACTGCCTGGCTAATGAGCGAGGCTTTGGAAATGCTACTGCAGCAAATCTGCTAAGCCCGGCCTCCCCCGCCTCCAGCCTGGGGCCCTCCATCATTCCAGACAGACACATGTATTTATTTTTCACTCTTTTGCATTTCTCATTTCCCTCTCGTGTCCTCCCTCCCATCAAGAGCCTCCTAAACCTGCCCTGCAATGCGCTTCTTTCTTTGGTGAATCCAGCTCCATGTCAACCATGTCAGAGTTTCCAGGGAAGCTGGGGAAGAGGTTTGGGCAAGGCCCCTCCCTCTTGCTGCCCAGAGGTCTCCTGCTCAGGGCCAAGAGCATGGGCCCAAGTGCCTCCACCCCATTATTCAGAGAGAGGAGAGAGAAATTAACTATTGAGTACCTATTACATGCCTGGCTTCACCAGCCACTTAAATCCATCATCTCTAATTCTCATAGCATCTCTGAGCGGCAGAATGGGCCCCTCCTAATTACAGGTGAGGAAACAGGTAAAAGCAGAAAAGACTTGACTGAGGGCACAGACTGAGGAAATAGTGGGATTTGAACTCAGGACTCTCTCTGAGGCCAAAGTCCTTCTGGGTGCCAGAGTCAGCACAGGCACAGTGACTCTGGGGATGGCAGCCTGATGCACTGAATCGAAATCAGTATGACTCTGCTATTTATTACCAACTTGACCTTGGGCACAGCACAAACCCATTTGTCCCTCAATTTTCTTATTTGTGAAATTAGGGTGATAGTACTACCAAACTCTTGGGATTGGTTTGAGAATTCAAATAGATTTCCATTTTTCAGCACCGAGGACAGTATCTGGCCCATGCTAAGGACTCCATAAAGGCAGGTTGTTGTTGAGTCAGGAGATGCTGAATATGATGGCACAATTACACCCCCCCCCACACACACACACAGACATACTGAAATGGAAGAAGATACATAAAGCATCAGGCTCATGTGGGTGTGCTCAATCAACAGTGGCTGTTGTAACTGTTATGAGAGAGAGTCTCCCTGTCACTTCCCTTTGCATATTTTTCTCCATCCTCTGGGCAAGGCACATACCAGGCTGAATGAATCCCCAGGGATATGGCTGAGACCCCCCCGGCCCCCCGCTGCATCCCAGGGACTCCCCTGGGGATGATGGAATCATTTCCCCAATCTGGGATTCTTTATTGCAGCCATTACAGTTAATGCCAACATGTGGGGATGGTGAAGGGTCAGTGATTCACAACTGGTTACCCAGGACCCACAGCCCTCCCACCTTCTTCACAAGTCAACTGTTCCCCAGAATTGACAGACAGAAGGTTGCCAGGCTTGTGGTTGCTGGGGGATGACCCTGAGGTCATGCTTCCTAGGTTCAGCAGTTTGCATTTTACAATGCACCATCACATCCAACCTCTCCTTCAGTCCTCTGTGATGTGATAGAGTGGTGTGCTGGGGCACGTTTAACCATCAGCTCCAGGGGCTGGAGGGGCAGGGAGGAATGCCTGCTTTGTAGTGTTTGCTGATTTCCATGGGGCAAATACTCCCAGCATGGCCAATTTCAAGCTGCCAATATGATATCAAGAGGCTCCAAAACTCCTAAAGCTTGTCTCCTGTGAGCTGATACGAGATGATTCTAGTACAATCTTACATCATTCCCATATTACAGACAAGGAAACTGCTATGCACAGTGACGAGTGAAAATGTGAATTAATAATGAGTAAAAATAAAACCCATCATTATATATCATATTTCAATGATAATGATATATTGTGTTTATTGAATGACTACTGTGTGTTGGATATTGATAAGCCCTTTATGTATATTATCTTACAGAATTCTAACATAAAGCCTGAACTAAGCTCTATTAAAATTTCCACTTTATATCTGGAAAAATGGAGGCCAAGTAAAATAATGAAATAATCTGTGCCTTAATTTCCTCATTTGTGAAATGAGGGTGATAGTACTACCAAACTCTCAGGATTGTTGTGAGAACTCCAGTAGATTTCTATGTTCAGAACCAAGAACAGTGCCTGGCTAAATTCACCTGGCAAGGAAATCGAAAGGGTAGGATTCAAACCCAGCTCGATCTGTTGTCAAAATCCACGGACACAGACAATAGGGTAGTTAAGGCCTGGGGGAAGTAGGGGCTGGGTGGAGGGATGTAAAGAGTGGGAGATGAAGGACATCTGTAATAGTGTCAACAACAACTATATGTGTGTGTGTATATATATATATATATTTAAAAGTCATGTGCATCCTACCTTATAAGGTAGGAAACGGGGGCCAATAGGAGGAGAAGTATACAGAACGAGAGGGAAGAATCAGAGAAAGGGGAGGGAGGGGAGAGGGGGGGGGAATGGCAAGGAGCACTCTCCCTCCCCAACAGCTAGTTCAAGCCCAGACTTCCAGAAGCCAGAGATGAGCTGTTCGCTGTCCGTGGTGCTGCCGGCCAGCCCCTTCTGCTACTTGAGGTTGAGAGCTTAGGTCCAGGCTGGCATAGGAAGGGTTGCCCAAGTGATTCTTGGACAAGCAGGATCTCAGAGCCCAGGGCTTCATGTGGAATGTTAGATATGGGAAGGCTGGTCCTGGGAGAGCACAGAAACCAGTGGTTCTCAGCCTGGCTGCACATTAGACTCTCTTAGGAGCTGTAAAATAAAACTGATGCTGAGCCCCATCCCAGACCAATTCAATAAGACTCTCCTGGGGTGGAGCATAGGCAAGGGCATTTGGAAAAGCTCCCGCGGTGATTCTAAAGTGCATCCCAGCCTAAGAACAGATGCCTTGGACACAACTCCTGATTGAACTGGTGAGGAAACTGAGTCACAGAGAGGCTGAATGCCTTTCCCAAGGTTACATCATTAGTATGTGGTAGGGAAAGATTCAGCCCAGATCTGTGTAGCCAGCATGTCACCCTCCAGGACTCACTGCATCTGTGCTGAGGCTGACACCCGGAAGGAAGCAGTGCTCCTCCCAAGCGACATCGACAGGAGCAGTCGGACATGCTGGAGGAGATGACCCTCCACCTCCATGGAGATTGCATGGGCTTGGGCATCAGAGAGGCCTGGGTTCAAATCCCACCACTTCTTCACTCTATGCTTTGGTCAAGTCGTTTCTCCTGTTTGACCTGTTTCTTCACCTGAAATTTGAAGGGGTTCACTCCACACCTCAGAGATGCTATGAGGATTAGAGATGGTGGATTTCAGTGCCTGGGGAAGCCGGGCATGTAGTAGGTGCTCAGAATTATTCCTTTCTTTTCTCTCTGTATGATCAGAAGGCCTTTGAGGCCATGTCCTTGGCCATGAATAGGAGATCCCTGGGCACCAGTATCAGGAGGGAGGGGGCTTGCCCACCCCTCATTTCTGGTTTAGCTGGCATGGCTCATCATGGAGCCAGACTGCAACCCATGTCTTGGCTGTCAGGCCAGAATGATTTCATCTCTTGTCCCTTGACCCTTGCTATCTGTGGGGTCCAACTGAGACCCAACTTGGGCTCCAGGACCCCCAGGAGAAGCCCCCGTTGGCTCAGGAAGGAGGTGGCGCTCTGGGGAATGGAGCGCAGGGATTGAAGACGTAAATTCTCATCCCAGCCCTGTGCTTGGTTATGGGAAAACCCTCTGACCTGACTGGACCTCAGTTCCCCTTCTGTGAAATGGAGATAAGGCTCTATCCTTCCTGCCTCACCGGGTGAGGGAGACGCCTTAATGAGATGAAAGAGATGAAACACTTTGGAAAAGAACAGAGTCCTCA